GGGGGGGGGGGGGGGTGACTGCACGCACCCGTCCAAACAGCTGTTCGTTGTTGACGAGAGAGCTCGGACTATATACGTGGCTCTATATTTGACTGTGGCTTGATTCCCCGTCGCTGACGTAAATACGGAGGGATGGAGTGAAATGTATACTCTGAACGGAACACGTGCTGTACATTTGCGCTTTGCAGCAGCAGTAACGACACATGCTTAACCATACCGGCACCGTACCCCCCCACTCCTGACCTTTGACACGTCTGCTGGATCAGACACGCCCCAAAATGTTGTTCTGTCTCCACGCAACAAAAAAACATTTTCTCCAAAACACTCGCCACGGATGCTCACGATGTGCGCGCAAGGCGTGAATCAAGTTTTGGACGTTTGGGTCATAAATAACCGCACACACCCTCTTGATAATCGAGCCTGCTCTCAGATTCTCGCAAAATACCAATTGAACAGGTGGTCGTCAATGAGCACGGACGGGCGGGCTTCCCGTGAAAAAAACAAACCAAAACAAAAAAAATTTGTGAAGGGATGCGAAAAATGTTCTCGCTTCGACTGCTTTCAAGTCGCCGATTATGCATCACGTCTGTTATGATATGACTTGCGTCCACCGCATCGGCATGGCATTAAAACTCAACCAGCCCCCGAGAAACGGTGATTAAATTCAACCTCCCCCCCACCTCCCCCTTTAAAATGTCTCGAGGCTTCGACAGTAATTACGCGTCGACACGTGTTCATTATTCTTCGTACGGCGGCATATGCACTTCATTTTTATCGGACACATTGGCCCTACATTAATTACTAGTCCCCTTGTACGCAGCTGTTTTGGGAATGCTTTGCTACTCCCTGCAAAACGTCCCTAAAACGGAAAGATTTGTAAAAGTTGCACAAATTAAATGGCCGTAGATGCAGCAACGGTGCCATTTCAATGTCTGTGAGTGAGAGGAGCAACGCACTTGAACTGGCCTGAGGTGCCATGTAGTCACATGAGAGGCTTAGGCCGCATTTAAATGTGTGATAATACAGTTAGGAACACTTGCTGTTGAACGTGCTGCAAGTGGAACTGATGCCATGTTCAAGGGGGGGGGGGGTAAAAAAACGGTTTTTGAACCGTATTTGGTGAAAGTAAAACACAATTGCAAGAAGGCAATGACAAAAAAAATGCCGAGCGCTCGCGTTCGATCTAAGAACAGCGGCGCGTTCCTAATTGCTTTGCGAGCGTTTTAAGCTTGAATTATCTTTGCGCGACTTGAACGGCTGCCACAATCGTGGCCGCGTGAGCTTATGAGAAAAGTGAATAAAAAGGAGACGTTTCGAGAATGGAAATGTCAAGAGGGAATTTGTGTCGTGGCAAAAGCAAGTGAGATATGACGGATACTTTGGCTCGCATAGTTGGAGTGGGTTGACTGCGCTGCAAAAAAAAAAAAAAAAAAGTTGGCCCAGAAAACGG